AGGCAGGAACTAGCTGCATCGAGAAGAGCTGAGCTTTCCACCAAATCTCCAACAGTAAGAGACAAAGTGACATTTTTTCAGCTTCTTTCTGGAAGCTATTTCAGGCAGGTGGCAGTGCCTGGGCAGGGAATGGCTGCTGGAGGGAGCCCAGAGCCACTGGCACACAAAGCTCTTGCAGTAAAGCAGGTGCCACCTCCCAGCTGTGACCTGGCATTTCTGTGGCTCCCAGGGGTTTCCCCTTAGCTACATGATAATGCACAAACTGTCAGGTACAGAACAGTGTTTTACTCTTTATTCCCATTTTCCCAAGCCATGGGCCATTGGCAGTGAACACTATTTAATTACACTAGGTATTTTCCTTCGCTGCCCTAATTAAGAGGAGTTTATGGTCAAAACCTATTTTAATGATACCCAAATCTTCTAACCTATTTTCAGTACCTGATATTTTGCCAAATATGGTGACTTTTCACTTGAAACATTAATCTGGTCCCACAAAATTCTGGGAGCCAGAAAGGATCTCCCTGTTGTATAAAGACTGAAGACAAGCAGATCATTGGCTAAAGGAGAAAGATTATCCATAATCTCACCAAGTTCATTTCTTCCTTTCCTTATAAAGTTCACTTTACTGTCTCATCTTCTCCCACTTTTTCCCTTTTTAACACAGGAAAGTCAGGTTGGGCTTTGCTGGAGGAGACCCGTGACTGCAACAGCTCGCACAGGTGTCAGTCACAGATGCCAAACAAGATCCTTTTCTTTCAGGATGAATCCAAAAAGGGTACACCAGGTACACAGCAGAAATTGCAGGAAAATCCCATTTTGATAGCCATTTCCTTGTCAGAAGCCAGGGAAGTCCAGGCAGGTCCATTCTGGAACCAACTGCAGCTCCCAAAACCAGGGGCAGGCACTGATTGTGGTTCCACTCCAGGCAGATGCAGCTGCTCCCAGGGACACAACTTGGAGACACAAGTGTCACCTCCACACACTGTGGGGACACTCTGCCGGTAAACCTGAGGTCAGACTCAACCCCAGGTGTACACATGAGGTGTGCAAGGACACTGGTACAGGAAATCTGTATTCCATGCTCACAACAACCACCTGCACCTTGTCCTACAAAACACTAGTGAGATGGTACTTAAAGCAGCTCAACAAGGCCTTTTTACACTGTAAGTTTCAGGACAGTTTAAAACACCACACAACTCAAGGAGTGTCACCAGTGTCTTTTTGGAATCACAGAATGCTTTGGGTTGGAAAATTCCTCTAAGATCATGCAGTCCAACCACTCCCCCAGCACTGCCAAGGTCACCACTAACCATGTCCCCAAGTGCCACATCCACACGGCTGTTAAATCCCTCCAGGGATGTGCCTCCACCCTGCCCTGGGCAGCTGTGCCAGGGCTGGACAGCCCTTTTCATGAAGGAATTGTTCTCAATACCCAATCTAAACCTCTCCTGGTGCAACTGAGGCTGTTTCCACAAGCCCTATAACCCCAAAAAGCTGTTTTTATCACCAAACTCCAAGGAAAGGAGTTTCACTTCAAGGCCCAAGACGCTGTGTGTGTCTCACTTCTGATGGGCACAGAGGGACCTCAAAAGCTCCTGCCAGATGAAACTCTGCCAGATGTTCCTGCTGGAACAGCCACCCCTTCCCTTACCTTCCTGGGGCACTGCATAGAGCTGCTCCATGAACATCCCTGCTGCTCCAGCTCCGCAGCCAGCGCGTGGGGCTGGGATTGGTGCTGTGCCCCCTGGAGCCCTGCCAGGCCCATGTGGCTCTGCAGATGCCCCAAGGTTTATGTCCCTCCTGAAATCAAAGTGTCAGTTTGGCTGCTGTCAGAGCCCTTTATTTTTGTACATATAAGGAAGTGGCTGTTGATGTTATCCGAAGGCACTTCCTGTTTTATGTGGGGATGAGCAAAAATACTGTCACGTCAAGCAAAATCGCCGTCTTGGAGAGCTCAGGTTGAAGCCTGAGTCAAAGTAAAGCTCATTGTTCGCTGCCTGTCACACTCTGCATTCAGTTAGTTTATTTTTGACACAGTTCTGTACTCTCACCAGAAAACTATCCTCCCCAATCCCTGCAAAAACAAGCAGCTGTGTCCTGTCCGAGTGCTGCTTCCCACCAAAACCCTCAGGATGGGTCAGATTCCAAAGGGCTTGGGGGATGCTGCCAAGCCCATAGGTGACACAGGGCCAGCAGCCAAGCAGTGCCACGGGACAATTCCAGCTGAGTTTGGGCTATTCTCCAATTTAACCATGAGGTTTCTTTTTTTTTTTTAATGAGGAAGGAGGTTTTTGTGTGTTCCCTGTCGGCACAGCCAGGCCAGGAAGCAGCCGTGGAGGAGTGCTGCATTCCAGGGCTGATGCACCACAGCTCCACACCAAAGGAATCTTCCTAATTGGAATGTAAAGCCTTGCTGGGTAAAGAAGAGCAAACAAATCTACCAAGTGAAAATAAATCCAGCAGGAAAAGGCATGGAGGGAGCATGAGGAGAGCTGCCAGCAGCAATCCCACATCAGTCAGGATGTTCACTGCCAGGGGCTCCTGGGGCTGCAGATTCCCTACTGCCACTTTCACTTGTCCCTGACTGCAGGACAGGGAGATGAACCATGTCTGGGACCAAGCAGAAGCCACTTTCTGCTTTCATTCTGCTCTTCATGGAACTTTTCTGGATATTAAATGTTAGTTTTTATATGTAACACAGAATCCCATAATCACTGAGGTTGGAAAAGCTCTCCAAGATCATCGAGTCCAACCTGTGACCCATCACCACCTTGTCAACTAGACCAGAACACTGAGTGCCACGTCCAGTGATTCCACCCCCTCCCTGGACAGCCCCTTCCAATGCCTGACAGCCCTTTCCATGGTGAAATTCCTCCCGATGGCCAACCTGAACATACCCTGGCACAGCTTGAAGCTGTTTCCCCTTGCCCTCTCCCTTATTCCCTGGGAGCAGAGCCTGACCCCACCGGGCTGCACATCCTGTCAGAGAGTTGCAGAGAGCAGAAGGTTCCCCTGAGCCTCCTTTTCTCCAGGCTGAGCCCCCACAGCTCCCTCAGCTGCTCCTGCCGCTCCAGCCCCTTCCCCAGCTCCAGCCCCTCAATGTCCTTCTTGTCATGAGGGTCCCAGAACTGGACACAGCAGTAGCACAGGTGAATGCTATAGGGGATGGGAAAGTCTAGTGTCTGGGGGGGTGAAGCACCAAGGAATATGTGTCCCCTGGCATTTTGCTGCCTCAGGAGGGTCCATCACTGCTGCTTGCTCCCATGGAACTGTGTGAAGCGACACACAGAGGCAATAAAATCACCAGGTGAGGTGATCTGCAGCTCCAAAAATTCCTTGCACAGAGAAGCTGTCCCTGCTTTAGTGAACCAGCACATTGTTCATCCAAAAGTTCTGAAGGGGAAGCTGAAGGAGAAAGCCATGACCATCTGGCAACGCCTTGCTGTGACTGGAAGTGTTCATTACTAACGAAGAGCAGTTCACACCAAGGAACACCAGCCTAGAGGGACAAAGGGTCACCCCCAATCACAACACTGACCATAAGCACTGTTCTAATTCCCCATTATTTCTAATTTATCAATCACTGGAGGTTCATCAACACCTATGAAAATATGACTTTATGCCAATGGTCAACATGCCACTCCCCATAAAACCCACCAGTCCCAGGCCTGAAAGGAGGTGCAAAGAGGAGCAAACCCCCTGTTTGTATTTATACTGAAGAACTTTCTTCACACTGTCTAGTCTGGGGTACTTTTGGCAGCCATTTCAGGGTAAGATTGCCATCCCTTCCTGCCTCAGTGCCTCCCTCCCTTCCAGCCATTTGGTAATATGGGATATAAAACTTATGTATAATATCTGTACATGTATTTCTGCATAAAGATCTCTCTAAAAGATCCATAAATTTCCTCACAGGTTCTTACCTAATATTGTAACACTG